TAAAATACATATTTTAAAATATTTAATAAAATATACAATGTCACAAGAAGTTTAAATGAGAAACAATTTAAAGGTTACAACATACATGATAGCGTGTGTTCATCTAAGTATACATTGTGACATTTACGCTTCATGATTCATGCGAACCAGCCATTAAGTCCACATTCTGCGATTCTCATATAAATTCACCCTTCCGATATGAACGGATGCCGAAACGTATAAATTATCTCAGAGTCAAAATCTGATTGACCGTATGCTATCTGAAAAGCGTATGTGAACGATTTTGCATAATAGAAAAAGAATTGACTGACAATTAATAAATAAGAGAATAGCTTTCAAACTTTCTAGGTGCTTCCGGGTAGTTACGCGCACATATACTACGTCGGTCACTTTAACATACAAATTACAATTTAGTCTTACGCTAAGGTTCTTATCCTATGTTACAATAGGTGCAAACTGTATTTATATATAAAGTAAAATTATGATTATGTTTACATTTACCTAGTTTGCTATGAATATGCGTATGCGTAAGTGCACTGTAATGGTGTAGTATGGATTTACATGAGAATCGCAAAATATGGACCTCATGGCTGGTTCGTATGAATTGCCGAACGTGGACGTCAAAATAATATTATGGAACAAAAATTACCTTGTGAGTTTAGGTTCTAATCCTGTAATGCATATAGGTTCTGAAGGAAGGAGGAGGATGTTTTCCAATTCAAGTTTGGACGTAAGAGGTTATTTAATTTATAATATTGTTTTGGTCTGTAATACAGGTTAAAATTATAACTTTATAGACGAAATATGGATCCAGATTTTGAAGAATTATCGCATGACACTGAAATTATTGCAAAAATTAAACAGCTTCGTGATGTAACGTTGAGAATTGAAGACACAATGAAACTTGCTACTCATCCAGAAATATATGAAAAACTGTCTAATACAGATAAAATTCAATATAATCTATTAATGTCTTATTGCCTAAACAGTATGTTCTGGATGTATTTACGTACAGAAGGTAAGATGTTAATACAAAGAAATAAAATGTGCAACAATTGTACAATAATTTACACTAAAATTAAATATTACGTGGTCTCTATTTTATGTACATCATATTTATCTAATTAGGAATTGACCCAACAAAACATCGAATAAAAATGGAAAATGACCGTTTAAAAAAGTGTATGACACATGCAAAACAAATTAATGATAGAAATCTTCCTATTCGTCGTTTAAATAAAGATGCAGCACAAAGATTTATCAGAAATGGATTATGGGAAATGAAAAATAAAACATGATAAAACAACATTGAAGATGTAAAAGATTATAATTGAATTTGGATAATGAATCAAATAATATCTGAAATTTATTATGTAATAATATATGTTATTTGAATGAAAAATATATTTACAAATACATTAACGTATTAAATATTTGCAAAATTGCATAAATAATATTTTATGTATTTTTTGAGTATTATAGCTGTTTTTTTTAAATAAAGGAACAAATACTTCTATATGTTATATAGCTATTGCATAGATCTAAATATTAAATTTGTCTGCTTGTTAGGTCATTTACTAGAATACTTTCTATTTGTTTACTATTGTGACCTTGTTCTAATATATGCCTGATGTGTCTGTTCCTTTATATACATAAAGCGTGTATTAAAACGAAAATTATCACAACAATTAGAAATAAACGGTATAAATTTTTTTACTTATACAAGTAAAATATTTGAAAACAAATACTAAAGTATTGTAATAAATAATACTATGGAAAAAACTGTGTTAAATACATTATTACAAAGTAGTGAAGATTATAATAAGAATAGAAATGTTTTCGGAACCTTACTAAAAGATGAAAGTAAGGTTAAAACATTAGATCAGTAAGTAACGCTTAATACTTAAAATTATTAATAATTTCAATAACTATGTGCTTATGCATGTATATAGATGCATGCACGTTTTTACTTATCTATTTGTGCATTATGTATACATATAATCATTAGAACTATATATTTTATTTTAAAGTATATATTTGTGAATATCTTTATAGGGTAAATAAATGTTTTGAAGGACTAAGGATACAATCTTATGTAGAATATGATAAAAAGGAAAGCGAACAACTTGCAGGAAAAATTAATAATATTATTAAAACACTTAACACAATAGTTGTGAAACCATGTTTTTCAGAGATTCTTTTATATGTTGGAACTCCTTTGTTTGTAATTTGTACAAATTTTCAAAATAACAGATCCAAATATACACTGTTGGGTTACATAGATGATGTTTTTGGATCTATTGGAGAACCTATGTATTCTATATGTATAAAGTGTAGCCCAACACATGTACTGAATATTAATCAGCATGTATATTATTTTCCTAATCATCCAAATACATTACACATGTATGTAGAACATACAGCAGATAATCTATCCAGTAACAAAAGATATGATATTAAAATAAAAAGCTTATAAAAATTTATTTTATATACT